CCCCAGAGACGCTGTCATTTTAGTTTCCGTAACCGCTACTGGCGGCTGCAGATCGGCAAATACTTCTTTTTTTACTTTGCGATTACGCAGCAGCATAGCAGTTCTTCGGGGAAAGGTGGCGCTTTTTTGGTCACTTCGGGTTGCATAAACAAGATAAAAAAAAAAATGACCGCATCTCCACGCGGTGAATGATGTTGATTGGGGCGAAGATCTGGTGGTGCTGATGATACTGATTTTGTTCATAGTAGTGCTGATGATGCTGATTTTTTTCTATTGCTCGTTTCATGCAACGTTTTATCCATGACATCCCCAGCTCTTGAGTTACTACCACATCTCAAAGCCCCCTACTCGTCCCGCAGTCGTGGCCGAGTGGTTAAGGCGATGAACTAGAAATCCATTGGGGTCTCCCCGCACAGGTTCGAATCCTGTCGACTGCGCAAACATTTTTTTTTTCTTTTTAAAAGACAGATGGGATGGCAACCGATGTGAGCACGGACGCCGGACGGACAAGGCTAGACCCCAAGGAGCTTCGCCCCTAAAATGCAAACTGCCAATTCTTTTAACATTAAAATTGTTGCACTGCTCCTTGACTTCGCCGAGTCGGGCCAGAGAGTCGCGTGAACTGCACTTGCAGCAGAGCACGCGAAATTGCCGTTCGGCCGCTGTCCAGAGCGCCCCACCGGCGCATTTTATATTTCTGCATTACGGGTATATCCTCATGTATAAAAATAATATTAATTATGTGTTTTAGGTTTTAGATCATTGTGTATGAGAGTGAACCAAACGTTATTTATTGCAGTGATGTCACTTTCAAGCATTTGTAATATGACGTTACGGTTTCCCTAAATCTTGAGTGTATGAATATGGTCTCTAGAATATTTATGCACCTGTTTGTGTGTTGTTTTCTTCTTTCTTTTTTTTCTCTCTCGTGTTTGCTACTACACTGCACCGCTGAGCAATGTAGAAGGGTGGTGGGGCCTATACTCGGCGACAACTTTTCTTGGCAATGCAAGGGAAGGTACGTCCCGCGTCCCCTCCCCCATTTTGAGTGTACGCAGGCTCTCCTCCTCCCCCATTTCCGGGGAGAGGAGGAGAGCCTTCGTACGCTCAAAATGGGAGAGGGGACGCGGGACGTACCTTCCACTGCATTGCCGAGAAAAGTTGTCGCGGAGTATAGTCAGGTAAAGCTTGTTTCACTTTTGCATCCCGACCCGTCACTCAAGAAGTCCAAAATAAAGATTACTACGAGCGAAGATTGCGGAATCATGGTTGCCGGAGCGGCGTCTACCGCCGTTTCAATGAGAGAGCAGTGCGTCGCGTTGAAGCGAACAAACGAGCAAGCCAGCAGATAACAAAGGACGCGCATGCGCAATGCGCGGTTCTCAGCAGCAGGCGGCGTGCGGCGCTCCGGTGTTATAGGTGTGACGTGACTTCTGTGACCAAGTTTTCGTGATATTGACCTCCACACTTTGCACCCCCTTCTAAGCGCGGAGAAAGGCGTAGTTGTACGTCAAAATGACGTCGCCTGTGTCTATAAACCGCAATACAGAAAATTTCATTCAAAATTTCTTGAGTGCACACTTGACACCGTTAAAAAATAGCTAGCGAATACCTGAACGAAACAAGGTTACAGTTGAGTTTCTTTCGTAAATCGCCGCGTTATCACACACACACACAAAAAAAAAAAAAGAAAAAAAACAAACAAACAAAGGACGCTTGAGTTTTGAGCTGTCGCTACACTCGCACGAATCAGTGCACAAGTTCCCTCCGCGAGCTCGCTGGAGCTAGCTAAAGCAGGTGCCCAGTTACGGACGCACGCATGCTCGCGAGTGATCTCCAGGGCCGGAGGTAAGGGTGACCTCTCCCCAACTGCCCCTAAGATGACAGTGCGGTGGGAGCTACGCTCTCGCGAGACCAATCGGCCGCTTCCCTTTCATCACCTGACCCCTCTCCCTGCACGTGAATGTAAATCTAGACTAAGTCTTCTTGGACTTAGGCTAGGCGGCGCAAGCTACAGCCCGTTACTAAGGGTATAGCCAGAGCCGTAAATGTAGAGAGTTTGGCTATTCGTTGGGAAGTATAGGAGACAAATGAGGAGGCGCCATTGGCCGAAAGTGGGCTGCGCGTGTTCCAGGGCGTCTTCAGAAATTCGAATGTGACCAACCAGAAGCCGTAAATAATACCCTGGCGGTGGTCGCGAGAAACAAACCTGATAACTGCATTGGTGTAACTCTCAATGGCTGAAAATATAGTACACGTGATGTTTCAATCACGTTAATCCAAAATGATGGTGAAAGAGTGCGACTAGCGGAACGATCGACATGATCCGTACGCCAAGCGCCCAGGGCCGGGAATCTGCCGTCTGAACGTCCGTGCAAAACAGAGTTGCGTGGTGCATTTGTTTCTTACATCTTTCTGCATGATCATGATCAAAACAACACGTGCACCTTATTTTCAACCACAAAGAGTTTCTACACTTCACTCTTACGTGTTTATTAAAACCATATACGAACATAGACTTTTGATCAGAACTGTTTGCCGCAACCACCGCTAGGGGATTCTTTTCGGCTTCTGGTTGGTCAAGAGAGCATGCCAAGCCCTCTTTCCGACTCTGCCGCACGCCCTGACTCTGCCCGCGCCTCCCATTGACCAAACTCTCTCAATACACGGCTCTGGGTATAGCCACTAGCATATATCCACCTATGTACCGGGTGGAAGCGTGATCACGTGGCAAAAGATAGTCGTACAGCTGGTCAAACTGAGCACGTACCTTTCACCGCACTGTCAGCTTATGAATGAAAGGAGTTACAAGGGAGAGTGAGAAGCATGCGGAGCTATGCCTCCCCTAGCTTTACAACTGACACATGTCCAGATACGAGCAGAAGGAATCACGACGACCGCGTTTCATGTGCCAAACGGCAAGCAGTTACCGGATGTCCTGGAAACTCGCTGTCACGTCTCGGCGTATCAAACGCTGCTCTGCGAATAGGTTCTGTGCTGGTTTTCGTTTCATGGAGAGGACGGGAACATTTGATGTACTCTTCAAGTGAAGGATGTAATCAGAACCTCCTTTGCCAGCAGGCGCCTCGGCTGCACAGCTGCATCGTCCGAAGATATCCTGTCGCTCACAATTGCTCTCAAGAGCGAACCATTTACATATAGCTATTTTTTATTGCGTGCTCTTTGGGCACTCGTGCGTTAATGTGTTCGCTTAGGCATCGAAAAAAGGGAGTTGTGTGTGCGCATGTTTTTTTTTCTTGCTATGTAGGGATTGCAGTGATAACATGAGGTGAAACTGTTTCTGTGGGGTTTTTTTTCGTACACACTTCCTTTATCTCTTTTTACGTCGAACCGCACAATCAAAAGAAAAAAAACCTTGAAAAAAAATTTCTGGCTACGCCACTGGTCTAGACCGCTTGTGGTGTACTGTGTGCTCATTTATACCAGATGAAAAATCTGTAATATGACTCAGGTTACGTGGTCTATTCCCAGGAAAAAAGTGATTATTGTTACATATTGCTAGATCCCCCCTCCCCCTTTGTAGCGTCAAATTCAAGTAGCTCTGTCCCACTAAAGCCAGCTCATATGCGTCATTATCCTTTCATTTTTTGTCTCATATTGCTAACCTATTATAAGTTACCGGATATGCGTAGCTCTGGAATCGTTGTCACAAAAAGGAAAAAAAAAATATTTTGCGAATAATTGACCACTTTTAAAAATGCCTGCATGCAACACTGCGCGCGTTGCATTATGGGTCCTCTTCGGCCATGGAGACGAGTAGCTTGGTTTTGATTTCGATTGTTCTGTTGACGAAGTAGTGCACCTCAGCACTGAATGAAAATAAAGTCAGCGCTCGCTTGCATTCCACCCATTCATCTTCGTGAGAGCCCCCATTAAAACACAAACCTCCAGCGGCCGTAAATACCTGCCTAGACTTAGCAAGGACTAGGAGTGAGGCCTGCAGCGTCCCATACCTGTCTGGCGGCTTGCATATCACTTCAGAGCGCAATATGACACGGACCATTTAAAAAGTCTAGTGCATTGGGACGATGGAACAAGATGATCGACCCAATAATATTTTTCTTCTTCCTTTGTTTACCTGCGCACAAACTCAGGTATGTCGGGAGCCCCCAAAACTCGTGCCCCAGCATTCTATATCCGTTTTGGTAGGCAACACCATAAGTTTTGTGGAAAATCACACATTCGAAAATGCATGCACCGTATTTGGTCGTGACGGGATGTCGTGAATTGAGTTTGGCAAATCGAAACTGAAACGGCTGCCAAAAGGTACCCAAAATGCTTTGAGCGGCACTACGCGGCTAGGATCTCTTCGATTTCTCAAGTACATTGATTCGCTGGACGAAGTAGTTACTAAAAAAAAATTGTTTTTCGTAAAAAAAAAAAAAAAAAAAATCACTTTTTGTTTTTGCGTTTGCAATGTGTACGTTATGAGAAACTAATGAATGATCCACGTGGTCAAAGTTTACGCGCGACCTCGCAGTTGCGACTTCGATCGTGCGGCAAGACAAAATCATGGTGGAAGATGCAATGCTCAACGTCGCGCCCGCAAAATCGCAACATATAAGTCAGGCTTGATAAATTACCGATCTGAACCACACATACAAGTGTCCTAATGAACCATTTAAAAAAAGGAAATTCGTAAAGTTTCACGAGGCGTAGAACTTATTTTTGAGTGTTCTTGAAATGAAAAGAAGTAGCGCTATTTCCCCCCCCCCCCCTCCCCCCCTTAAATAACACAACCCCATTGAAAGGAACGCGAAACGTTTCAAAAGGAAACAGTCTCATGAATATGCTTCATCAAAAACACGCACAAGGTCAGTCGAGCGCGATTTCGGTGCTTTTTCTTTTACGTCACGTTCACTGACTCAAGCAAAACACTCGATGAATTGTTTGAGCGCAAATGTGAACCTGGTACGCATGCGCACCCCTTTCCTTTGAACTAATTTTGTCCTCTTGGATTTTTTATTTCCCGGCAGGTCCTGCTTTTCGCGGCCAGGGAAACAGCGCATGGAATGGGTACCAGCAGATACATTTCTTTCTTATCTTACTTGCAGGGCTAATAACTTCCTTACTAAATAGAAGTTATCTTCCCGTTCTTACAAACGGACCATCATGTGCCACGGGATAGGAAGCTTTCATAAATACTCGAGACTTGCCGTTACAGTCGTGAACTGCTTGAGAAACTCAGGGCTCGGTTTATGATCGTCACGCTCCTCGCTCACGCGTGAATGGTTCACGGCTATCCTTATCGGCTAATGCCTCAATCTCAATGACTGCGAAGCGATGAGATGCGCGAGGCTCGGCCACGCCCTGCATTTCTTAAGCTGCGAATAACCATATGTAAAAAAAAAAAGAAAAGGTGGGGGTGAGAGAGGAGTGCTCACTTTTCTTGTGAGACACCAAGACAAGGTAAGTCTGGGTTTCGATGGAAGGTTTTTTGTTTCAATCCAGGGGTGGGTCTAAACTTTTATTGGATAGATGGAGGGTTTGCAGAGGAAAAACGACGAGAATCGCTTGGAATTTTGGGTTGGAGTAGTGTTTTGTGGCGCCAAACCAGATAATACTTCACCGTTCTTTATCCATCGCAGAAAGAAGGTTAATGAGAAGGAGCTTTACAAATCGGTGATGTGATAAGATGATGGGAGTGAATTTGTATAAAATATGATGATGACCTCAAAGTGCAAGGACTAAACCTTGTGTAAGTACATAACTTTCCAAGAACTCCCAAAGCGCGCGTGTGTGACAAAAGAGCGCTCATTTCGAAGTAACGCACCTAGGTGCCAAAGAAATGCCAATGAATACCGTAAAGTCACTGAAGTGTCAACTAATCATATCTTGTCCGTTTTCTGTGGAAACCTTTGGGCCTTCGCAGTGGTACATAGTCCTCTAGACACCTAGAAAGCTTTCGTGAGGTGTTCGGAGGCAATAACACAAATACTGTACCTACCAAGGGCGCTAACGAGTGAAGAAACATCATGGCGTGACCAGTACCGGCAGGCCATGAGACGGCGTCAACCCCTGATAGTACTTGACATCACTACAGTGCCGTGCTTTAGCACGAAACAGGCCACATGCAAAAAGAAAAGCACCATCTATAGTATACTCATGATCAGTTTTCATATTTCCGACATATTGGGGGGTTCTCGTACCCACAACCTACTGTAATCCTGACCTGGCCACAGAAGAGTGTGACAGAACGCACCCTGTAATGCAGGTCGTGGTGGCAGCGTTTCGCCACGCTACGACTTCGTGGCGTTGCACAAAGATTCTTTTTCTTCTAGGGTACTCGCATATCAATTGAACGCGCGCAAGGCGCGGCGGCGTCTGGGCGGCGTTATCTGGTCTTGACCTGCGGTACTCGCGGGATCTCAGTCAGTGGGCGCGTGACAGATTCGCCACTATACTCCGTTTCACCTTATGTTGTACCGCAGCGAAGGCTAGAAGCGCGAGCTCATAGCGTTGGCAGCCGCTCTTAAAGGAGCTGTGCAACGATATTCAATTGGAATGTTTTTCTCTCTACACGAGCTTACTGGCACACCTGGGACTCAAGGATACTCACACGCAACGCCACTGGCCAAGAAACTTCTTTGTTGCGGTGTAATTTCAAGGACAAAAGCGATCATTTTCATTCAATCTCTCCTTCGCAAAATTCGATGACGTAACTCGGGGATCGCAGTACACCCAAGTGACGATATTTGAATGCGGCTCATAGATTGGACCCGAGCATTGCGTGGGCACTCGACTTGGGCTCGTGACAATTGCTATCTCGAGGAGCATTCGGGTTGTAACCCGTGTCCAATCGCTGCAACGACGACAATAGCCGAGCCATAACAATGTCTGGAACTCAGCGCGTGTCCTGCGCTTTGCCAACCCCAGCGCGTGGCTGTGATCAACATTGGCGGCATATAATCGGCTCCAGATCACGTGGCCGCTTGTTCTGGCTGCGAGTTGAGGGGGTGAATGCTGCTCGTTTTTCTTAAATTTTTTTCTTGGACTTCTATTGCGTGAGGTGAAAAACGAACGCGTGTTTCATAGGTCATTAACGTTAGGGATCTGTTTTACGCGGTATTTGTGCAAAGTACAAAAATTGTTGCATTGCTCCTTTAAGTCACGAAAGCTTGTGCCGCCGAGATGTGCTCCATAGCAAGGAGCTCGCGCTTGTAGGCTTTCCTGCGGTACATCATAAGGTGAAACGGAGTATAGAGGCACCGGCTGCCAGCACAGTGGCTATTTATGGGTGATCCGAGAATGCGCCTTATTTCGACGATGGCACAAGAGCAGTCGGGGCTAAAAATCTTCCTTGCGCTTCCGTGCCTGAGAAATGTGCTTTGCGATCTAAGCAAACATGAGAGCGATGCCGGCAATGCGTCCTGCCACAGTGTGCTACTGCAGCCTGCTGGCGCCATGCTATGGCAGCTGTTCGAAAGACAGTAATCCGATATCACCGACCGCGCGCCGTGCGAACCGTGCATTAGACAGGCAGGCTGGGAACAAGTTTCGGTCGCAAAAAAGTCTTTGCTGGGCGCAGCCAACGGCAAAGCGAGGCGCTTCATCGGTAACATCGTCTCCTATAAGGGGCCATTTTGTGGACAGGTCAGGATTCCAGTAGGTCGTGCCCGTAGCGATGGTTTCGCCCGAGAGACAAAGGTCCCGGCAAGACGGGAGTCGTTGATCTAAAATATGATCACGTGCTGCAAGTCCAGTACGAACTCTTCACACAGCGTCTTCGATGAAGACGCTGTGTGATCTGGATGGCCCAGTTCAGTGCTTGAGTGACGACGAGTCTTGCGGGCCCTCGTTGATAAAAATTCCTTTTCCATAACTCTGCTGCCGTCTTTTTCTCTCTGTACCAAAAATTAAACAGCAACCCGTTGACTGCATAAATGCATTGTTCTAATATCATAAAACCAAGTAAAATGTAAATGCGCCTTGTTCACAGTTAAAAGTTGTAAAAAAAAAACAACCTCCAATATGACGGTTCCGTATGACATGATGATGATAGCTGACAAGAATTTTGCATATGGCCTACTGTAGTTATAAATCCAAGGAGCTTTTAAAGTAGGCAGATAAATATATTCGTGACGGAATGAAGATGAGGGTGATGCCACTCTTTGAAGTAGCCGACGCCGGCAACACGCTATACACACAAGAAAACTACAAACAAACCACGGGATTCCAACATGTCGGCGAGGCGCTGTCAACCCTAAAGATGCGCTCACACTGCTAAGAGATATAAGTACAAAAAGGCACGTCTGTAAACGCCGTCTAAGGCGTGCTTCTTCCTCGTACAAGATGCAGCTGTCACATTGACTATACAAAAAAAAAAAAAAAATGAAAGCCGTTTACAACTTCCTGGCCGTGTTCCAAAATTTACTCGATCTCACTCCAGGGTAAGGGTTTTGTACCCTTGGCATTCTGAAACCTACCCGCGTTCAGCGTCTTTCAATCTGTGCTGTCACGTGATAGGATACGCCGGAGTAACTCGGATCCATTTGGGTAAGATTTGGAACACAGCCCCTGTAACGCCGAATTAGAGCGCAGCTCTTGAGGAGGAGTAGGGAAGGGTAAGGGTACTGAGGGGGGGGGGGGGAGGTCATACGACCTCGGGGGTGGGGGTGGGGGTCACGTGACCCCCACGAGGTCACGTGACCGCCCTCTCCGAGGTCACGTGGGGGGTCACGTGACCTCGAGGGGAGGGGGGGGGGGTCACGTGACCCCCCAGAGAATTTTTTTCGCTAGATTTAGCGGGGAAATTTTTCCGCTGGATTTAGCGGGGAAATTTTTCTGCTAGATTTAGCAGGGAAACCTTTACGCTAGATTTAGCGGGGAATGTTTCCGCTAGATTGAACGGGGAAATTTTTCGGCTAGATTTAGCGGGGAAAGTATTTCGCTAGATCTTGCAGGGACATTTTTTTATTTTTATTTATTTTTTATTTAGGAATACTGCAGGCCAATTGCGGCCCAAGCAGGATTGGGGGTTACAAAAGTGGAGTCAAAAAAGCGCAACACCAGGTAATCCGTAGATCTAGCGGGAAATTTTTCCGCTAGATTTAGCGGGGAAACTTTTACGCTAGATTTAGCGGGGAAATTTTTCGCAACACCAGGTAATCCGCTAGATCTAGCGGGAAATTTTTCCGCTAGATTTAGCGGGGAAACTTTTACGCTAGATCTAGCGGGGAAAATTTTCCCTTAGATTTAGCGGGGAAGTTTTTCCGCTTAATTTAGCAGGGAAATTTACCCATAATGCACCGCGCGGTTACGCCGACGGCGACGGCGACGCCGAAGCCTACGCCGCTTAAGCCGGAAAAAGGCGCCTAACCGCTCATTCACACTGGAAGCGGATCCGCCTTCGCAAAGCGGTTGCGAACGCGGTTGTATAAAGATCCAGTGCAATTGCACGCGCACTCGATGACATCAAGTGCGTGTGCAATTGTACTGGAACTTTATACAACCGCGTTCGCAACCGCTTTGCGAAGGCGGATCGGCTTCCAGTGTGAATGAGCGGTAAGAGCTGCGCTCTAAAACAACAACTGTGTAGACAGGTTCGAAGCGTACACACGCATTAAGTAAACATGCTTCCAAGATGCCCGAGGCGAGTCCGCCGATAATTGTGTAATTAGGGAGTTTTAGGGAACCGCCTTCGCATATCCGACTCGCTACGATGGGCCTTCAGGTACGCACTGCGCATGTGCAGGTCTTCTAAGGTTGCACATGCGTAGTTCGTGCCGGAGGGCCACCGTACCACATCAGATGTGCAAAAACGGTTCCCTAAAACTCTCTATTAGGGAGTTTTAGGGAACCGCCTTCGCACATCCGACTCGCTACGATGGGCCTTCAGGTACGCACTGCGCATGTGCAGGTCTTCTAAGGTTGCACATGCGTAGTTCGTGCCGGAGGGCCACCGTACCACATCAGATGTGCAAAAACGGTTCCCTAAAACTCTCTATTAGGGAGTTTTAGGGAACCGCCTTCGCACATCCGACTCGCTACGATGGGCCTTCAGGTACGCACTGCGC